TAATGTAGGCATGTATGGCATACATGGAGTGTCTGGGGATTAGTCACAACCCTACCTTGGGTCCGTGACAAAGAGGAATTCCGTGACCACGCTGGGCTGCACCCGGGCCGGGACCAGGCCGCAGCGCTCTCGAACAAAGCGGATCACATCAGAAGCCTCGGAGAATTCGATGGGATAACCACCCAGCCAGTCTTTCACATCAGTCCAGAAGTTCATCCCACGCTGAAATTGAGCCTCAAAGGCCAACACGAAGGGATTGCGGTGTTTCTGCAAGACCTCCTCTTTCAGAAGCCACCAGCCATACTCTCTTTCCATCTGTCCACGGTTTATCTCATCCAAAGACACATAGAGCCGCTTGATGTAAACCTGCGTGAACTCGCGTCTTTTCTCTCCATGAACACAAATGCCAGCTGTATCAGTAATCTGGTTGTTGAACACAATGTTCCCAATCTTCCCAGACTGGATATCAGGTTACATATCACCTTTTCGCATCTTGACAAGGAGTCTGAGCCTGTTGGAATGCCGGGTATTTCCTGGTGTTCAACATGCGGTCCTTGTCTTCAGATGCTTCTTCTGTGGCCAAGCAACAAACAGTTCCAGTGGAGCCTTCAATTCGCACCCGCGGTCTAGCGGTCTGGTGTTTGTGATGTCCCGAGTCCCGACGATCAAGTTCGGTCACTTTGAAGCAGGATCAAAAATGGGTTCCCGTTGGCTGAGGGACATGGTGTCCTCTCATACCCACCCCACCCCCAAGGTGTCAACTCTCGCCTAAGAATCCGGGCCGGACCAACACCTGCGAAACTGGAGAAGGCCTGCCACCCCTGCCATGGTTCGGGCCCTTTTTCGGAGTCTTAGGGAGGCTTGTGTCGCTTGCTTCCCAACAAATCCCACAACATTCCGACGATTTGGCTTTCACCGGCCCGTTGGTCCAGTTTTTCGTTTGCTCCAGTCTCGGCACCCAATAGTCGGGATCTCGCACCATCTCCCGCGCATAGAGCGCCAGCATGAAGGCACCTCCCCCCTCCTCCGGTCGTTTCACAAGGTGACAGCTATGCTCCAGCGCTTTCCACAAGTCTCCAGTATGATGAAGAGCGCCCCACGAGTAGACCACATCGGTCCTGTGGACCCAACATCGGTCCTGTGGACCAAAGGGGTGATGGGTTCTGGCCTCCTTTCACCTACCTGTGGACCCCCAGGTACCATCGCCCGAAGTCCGGAGTTGGTTTCCGAACTGTCGGAAGGTGTGTTACAAAAATATAGTCATAATGTGGTGCCACTGTGGTGCGTAGAGTGAAACATATACATATATATATTATATATAATATATATATATACCAGCACCTTCCAACAGGTCTCCTTTGGAGGGTTGCTGGGCCCTAACAGGTTTCAATTGGTGACCTCTTGGAGGTGCTGGTACACAGATATACACAGTATGATGACGTCTGACGATCTATTTTTCTGGGACTGGAAGTATTTGTAAATCAGTTGGTGGAGCGTCGGCGAGCTCCTTTTCTTTTCCGGACAGTCAATTCCTCACTTTTGATACCAATCTCACATGCATTCCTCCAATCTCCTCTGACGTCATGGGTACCCTCTTTCGCCGTTTCGTTTCGTTTCTGCTGGGTCCTGTGGTCCAGATCTTCTTTCTTCAAGATGTCACCCAGGTAAGCGTCCCAACGTGTGGCTTTGCTGATCTGGCTGCCATACCTTTGTTGCAGCGCCCTGGTGCTGGTCAATGAGTCAGTTTGCCGATCAAAGGATAGAACAACACTGGCACTGGCCACGGCAGCTGCTGCTGAATGAATGCCTGCCAGTGGTTTGAACGTGTACCGTATCGTGGAGATTTGCAGCAACATGGGATTCTTCTTGTGGTTAATCTCTGAGACGCGTCGCATTGAAATTTGGACCCCTCCAAATACTCCGAAACAGCCCTTGTGCTTTATCCCACCAGCACGGATAATGACCCGATGGCACGATTGATATACTGTATTGGCTCTGTTGCTGTGGAATGGAATTCACAAGGAGTTTCTAAGATATTCTAGGATCGCTAACAGCACGAAAGCACTTGGGTGTGGATGCCCTTTTGGTTGGGCTCGGCAACATTATGCAATATACATATCAATACAATACATATCAACATGATATATCATGATATGTTTCCATATGATGCGGATATAAAATGACAACAATGTAGTCAAAGAAGTGTGTATATGATTCTTGGGATTCTTCGTCTAGCCCACAACCCATTGTGGGTGGACTAGTAGGTGGACTGAACCTTCATTGCAATGGCTGTTTCCCCAATGAGCTTGCTGCCTGCTCTCTACACATGTATAATATATACACTGTAATTATGTTGGTTCTTGACTAGCTTTAGTCAAGCTCATCTTTACATTCGGGTGTGTCTGCTGTGAGCTTCGTCTGGAAGGCCTAAGGTGAAAGACATGGCCCTGCTAGGAAGGCCGTAAAAGGCATGTGAAGCTCGGCATCGCGGCATCGCCGTTGCAGGCCGGATGTTGGAAGTTTCAGGAGATGTTGCGACTGCGAGCTTTACTCCCCTCCTCCATGCACATGGAACCCCAAAACCACGTCGGGTGGTAGAGGAACATGGTCGCAACCACCGGGAACAATTCCCAGGTTGACTTTGCCGGGAGAGTATCAACCGTTAAAACGGTGGAGACGGACCGAGACTCCGTCATTTGGCGGTTCAACAGAATGTTGATGCAATTCCTGGGACCGTGACCGGTGCGAAAATCGACCTTGCAGGCAAAACACCACTGCCGCACCCAACATCCAGAAAGCTCAAATTCTTCAGAACTTGTCCATCTGCCACTTGCCAGCCATCCACAAATCTGCCCATGGGGGACAGGAAGTTCAACAAATTCATCATGGAGATCAGCAAGGCCTCGAGATGAAGACGACCACACGGTCCAGACCCTCACGGTCCCGTTCCAGCTGACGGTCCTGCTGAGTTGCTTTGACCTTTTCTGCTTTGGGAGGCCATCGCTCTTAGGGAGCGGAAGCCATCGCTAGGTAGAAACGAAGAAGGAACACAAGCGACCGCACACCGGGGCAGTTGCTAAAGCTATGGCGAAGTGTCGGCCCAATGAGAGGGGAGTTCTATGATACACCCACTCACATATTCGATCAAGGGACATTCTGCAAGTCGCCAGGACCAGAGCTTGATGAACTTGAGCAGTTTAGCTTGTGGATGAACGAGTTCCAGTTTTCTCCGAAATTGTAGGTCTCCTTAGCTCTCAAGTAGCTGCTTCTGTTGCTTGTGTGTTTCCTTTTTTTGCGGCAGTGCCTTCATCAAACACGCAAGGACAGCTCTGCAGATCACTCTACTTACCAGTTGAACAAAAGAATACCCGTGATTTCCAGTGATAATGGCCATCGACTGGATATATGTCCATGTAACCATATCACCATATCAGTCTGGATATGACATGATATGACCATATAACCATATCACGATAATTTACTGATTCTTGACCATCCAGTGATATCCATAAATATTCAAGAACCACATACCACCCGCCCCAGATCAACCTCGCCGAGTCCACCGAACCTCTCCCACTCCGGGTGCGAACGCCCCCTGAGTCCGGTCCGAAAACCCTCCCATGAGGGCCGACCACACCACCGTTTGGGCGGGCCGAAGACGCCCGGAAAACGGGCCGGCCTCGGCCCCCGGTTTTCGACTCCCACCGAAGGGTCTGGGTCATAAAGCACTGAGGCCATCGAGAGTTTCAGCAGACATCCCAGCAGCGCGCGCATGGCCGCCAGGCGACACGACCAGAGGAGGTCGTGGGGGCCAAGTCCACTCCGAAGCTAAAGCTAATTGAATTGACCAGCACCACCCAGGTCGGGTGGTTTATAGACCCCCCTGAAGATGTATTTTCTATCTAATAACCACCCGAACTGGGTGGTGCTGGGACCTGGCGATTCTAGCTAGCTGAGTTCAACCATCTGACAGGAGAGGCACATCACGGATTTGAAATATGTCTTCTTTGCGAGGTCGCGACAAAGGCAATGCAGAGAATTGTATGCTTTTTGGTAGGAGTGTGTCTTCTTTTTGATACTTTTTTGACCACACAGAGACAGAACACCCAAGTTTAAGGACATCTTGGGATGTGTTGGGTTTTGGATAGTTCGGGGAAGCGCGTGCAAGGACATGTGTGTGGAATCTCTAAACATATGAAAAATCAAAGAAGCTGGCTCCTAAAACAGAGTTAGTACATGTTAGTACTGTAAGCGGTTCGAGCGGATTTCTTCCACCTCTCAAGCGGTTTCTTGTCTTGCTGAGCTGAAGCTAGTGGTTGGAGCCCCTTGGCAGGAAAAGCATCTCTGACCTTCCGAAGTGGCCGGTTTCTTGGCAATTCAAGACTCAAAGGCTGGTACCAGGGAGTCTTCAGCAAGCCCGACAAAGCTTGAATCGGCTTCTTCTTCAGACCTCTCGGACATTCGGAGGGCCTTAATTACAATGGCCAGCTGTGCGGAAATTCCCTCTCACAGCACATGTCATTCATTTCGTCATTGTGCTACCAGAATATCTTAAATGTATGTTTTAACCTGACATTCTTGTGTCTGTTTCAGCAGGAGCCCAATGGCTGCAAACACAGAAAAGACTGCTGGGAAGTTCTCTGGAGGTGAACATGGCCAACATCTAACATCATCTACCAGCACCGAACCCAGGTCTCCGTTGCATGGAGGGTTGGGAAAGGCCCGTGCCCAGGTTTCAATTGGTGACCTGTCCTCATTAACTTCTTACATACCTGGCCTGCTGGCTGTGTCACCCTGAAGACTCCACGAGAGCTTCCCGGGGCGTGGGCCACGCGCCCCGTGGAGTGGACTACAAGGATCACGGAAAGGGTACCCTGATGTATAGGTTCAGTCTGGCTATGAATCAGGCGAGGAAATCGATGTGTTGGGCTCTTGTCCCAACACCTCTTCAGTTGGGCTCTTACGGCTCTTCCGGCGCTTGTTTCAATCGAACCTCGCGCCTGCCAGCCCTCGTGGAAGATGGCCTCGGGCAACTCACCCTCCGCCAGGCCAGTGAAGAAGGGCACGCCGCCACCCATCTGGCAGAAAAGTCCGAAAAAGGGAGCCCCTCCACACAGAGAAAGAGGTGCACGGGCAATTTTGCTATCTTTTGGGCCGTTCATCTTGATGTGGAGTCTATTGGGAGATTTGAAGAACCAAAGAACAAAGTAAAAGATGAAGCATGCAAGTCTTATGTGCAGCACAAACTATATTTACATGGCTGTGAGTCAAAACCCCAAGCCCCAACCCTTGGTAGGTTGACCATGTCTGGCAGTCTACTCTGTTCGTTTTCTGTGGTCAACCACGGGCCCTGGTTTTGACCTGCAGCCACATAGACTCAGTTTCTAGGTGGCGATACAACAACCACTTGCCTCAGGATGTCCCTTCCTTGGAGAAGGGGATAGTAGACTGATGCATGTTTGCCGATGTCTTGTGATGTTGCTCATGGACTTGAGCTTTCTTCCCACCAAGCCTCTCAGTTAAACATCGACCAGCACTGCAGGCCTAAATCCTCTGCCCCTTCCGGATTTGGTTCCACGGTCTTTTTTCTTGCAACCCGGATGAACCAGAAACGCTCAGCGGACACCCAAGTGGAAGACTTGTTCTTCACATCACCGTTTTGGAGGCCGAGCACAGCCCGGTGAAGCAAAATCTCATACAATCTCACATCACCTGCCAAATCCAGCCCAAAATTGCTAGATCGAGGACTGATTTCGCAACCATCTCAAACACGTTCGTTGTGATGCAAGCGTGCCTCCAACAATTTTGTGTCCAAACATGTGCGGCCGTTCCGAACAAATCCCAAATGAGGACAATGGATGGGAAAGATGTGACTCGAGTTCTCCAACCAAGCCAGGACTTCCGTCGCCCAGGTTGTTAGTCCCATCCGGCGGGGTCGGTGAGTCGTGGAACCGGGCACCCGCCGGGCACCGGGACCTCCGTTCGGAACCGGGCATCCGGATCCATGGGACTGCCTGACAATCTCTCACAGCTCCAAAACCAATTCTCTTTCGCTGCCCAAACCACAGCACCTCCGGACTTCCTCCGCTTCCTCCCTTCCCACCTGGTGCATCACTTGCGCGGCCAGCGCAGTCGCGGCCACCTGGCGGCTCGCAAGAGAGGTTCTGAGGTTACACAGGTCATTTTCAGAAGTCTTTGAATCTGCGCCAGCACCACCCACAGGGCGATTTACATGCACCATCCTGTCTGGGTGTCCAGGCTGGAGATCCCTAAGAGTGTAGGCTAGTCCAGCCAGGACACTTATTGGTCCTGGTATAGATCCTTTACATTATTATTGCAAGATCTACACTCCCGAAAACTATCATGAACCCTGAAAACCACTGGTTGGTAGAGGAAAACAATCTTCCATCTTACCATTGTCAGGGTCTATGTGAGTTTTCGGGAGTGTAATGGTCCATGACCAAAACCTCCGGATGATCTCGCTAAACAAACGGCTGAAGCATGCTGAACCCACCGGTCATCTCCATCGGGTGAGTTCTACGGACCACGGGTTGGACATGTGGACAAGCAAAATACTAGAGTCGGTTTTTGTCGCATTCAGTAGCAACCATCCACTCGGATGGGCTACCCGGTGAGCAGAGTATTGGAGGGTGAACCCGACACATTTACGGTTTCAGAGTAGATGGCACAATCCCCAAAACGTGGTTTGTATGGACCCCCATCAAAAGGACATCTTGGGGTCTGTGCCATCTACTCTGAAATCACTGCAGTGTGTAGAAAACACCTATCTGTAGAATGGGATGTCCAACCTCGGCTCTCTGCAAAATGCCAAACCACATAAATCCAAATGAAGTGACCCGAGGCAACCCCAACAAAAATCTGGCAAGTGAGTCTATGAAATGACCAAATCATGTTCTGTCGTGAAAGCTGGAGAAGAAAACAAAAAAAAGGAAGAGACTGGGAAAAACAAACTATGTAGAATCTATATGTATCTTGTATGTGGCTGTACTAGTGGGTATTATAATGAGTTTCTGTTTCTCTTGTGTTTCTGTGTAAAACAAGCTTCTCTACAAAATAGCATTCTAAGTCTTCTCTTCAGTGACCCAGAATGACCTTTTTGAAAAGGACCACTCTACAAAATGCAATGTTCGGGCTTTGGCCTTGTTCCTCCCTCACTGTAGAATGCGTCCATGAATTGTATTTTTTGTAGATGTCATTCTATAGTACTCTCTGCCCAGGTATTCAGAATCTGCAAAGTGCTAAAATCCAAACCAGGAAGAAGCTCCGCACGTGAACACCTGGCTGCGTTTTTTGGAATACGGAGACACCCAAAGAGTGCCTGGAAACAAACTAAACTTGGTTGAAAGGTCTCTCTCTTCCAATAGCCAGCCTACGGTGAAACTTAGCAGTAGCACTCGTTGCACGCAGTGGGTGCACACTTTTCTAGTTTGCATGCCAGCTGGGGAAAACCAGTAGCAAACTGCGGCTCTGATGGATTCTGATTCGCTTGTGTCAGGCAAGCCTTGAGATCCGACCTTTCAATACAAAGACTCCAGAATCCAAACAGAGCATACCGCAGGTGTACAGTTGGGCTGGGATCAGAAAACGCTTAATAAGTCGAAATAGAACCTAATTTGTCCATCCAGGTCTCTCAAAGAACTTCCGGGCCTGGCAAAAATTTGTTTGTTGAATTTTTCAAGTACCAACAAGGGGAAACAAGTCAATGATCCCTAAGGATCCTTGGATCCACAGAAGGGGTTGAACCCTCGATTGACAGGGTTTTGGGGTACATTAGAAGGATAAATTGATGGTCAGCGACTGTTAGGGGGAGTCTATAAACCAACCCGAACTGGATGGTGCTGGTCACTTTCACTTGTTTTCCACCAGGGCCCACAGGGGGCCCTGGTTAATGGGACACCCCTTAACCTCTATATAAGGGGCTCATTCTTGGATACCCCAAACCGAGGGCCCTAGCATAGTTCCACCTTCAGATGAATTTGCGATGCCTTGCTTTCTGCCCAAATTGTTGCATCAACTGCATCGCATGAGGCTTGGATTTTCAGGGCGTTCGGGTGGGATTCAAATCGCCCCACACGCAAACTCTGGGACAAGTATGTGTTTGTTTGTTTTCCCGAATGCGTAGCGAAGGGTTCTCGTTTAACTCTAGGGGTCTGGGGGTAGAGCCTTGTTCGCGACCGGTTGTTCGCAGCCGTCCGCAACCGTGCGCAACCGGACGCAGTAGAGCGCTTAGGCGCTGCAACTGCTTGGCAGGGCTGCGTGATGTGTGTGCTCCGATGGGTGTTTCCGCTTGACTTTTGGAGGAAGCCTCGTACGAAACACTCGTTTTGCAGACTTTGACATGTGAGTTTTTGAGGAAGTCTCGTACGAAACGCTCGTCTTGCAGCCTCGAAGCGTGTGTCCTACAAGACTGTCCCAGATAGAGTGTCCCACAAGAGTTTTGTATGAGTGTCCCACAAGAGTGTCCCGCAACCGTGCCGTACAAGAGTGTCTCACAAGAGTGTCCCTTAAGAGTGTCCCACAAGAGTGTCCTAGAAGAGTGTCCCACAAGAGATCACAAGAGCATCCTACAAGAGTGTCCCACAGGAGTGCCCTACAAGAGTGTCCCACAAGAGTGTCTCACAAGAGTGTCCCGCAAGAGTCCTACAGGAGTAACCCACAAGAGCTTCCTACAAGAGTGTCCCACAAGAGTGTCCCACAAGAGTGCCCCACAAGAGTGTCCCACAAGAGTGTCCTACAAGGGTGTCCAACAAGAGTGTCCCACAAGAGTGTCCCACAAGAGTGTCCCGCAACAGTGTCCCACAAGAGCGTCTCACAAGAGTGTCCCTTAAGAGTGTCCTACAAGAGTATCCCACAAGAGTTTCCTACAAGAGTGT